ATAATAATTTGAATTTCTTTTCCCCTTCCCCCCCCCTCTATTTTTATAATTTCAGGATACAACATCTGGTCTTTATATAAGTGTACTAAAGATCTTGTATACATATGTTTGAATGTGTGTCTATACTATATTGTAATAGTGACCACTGAGGAAGGCTCTGTGAGGCCGAAACGCGTTTGGTCTTCAGTTGGAAAGTGTTGACCCATCATGTGTATTAATGTTTGATATGCTTTTATTAGTCTGATACTTGAAAAAAAAATTAACCCGAATATATTTTAATATGTGTACACCCTAATAAATTTTGTTCTTTTATCATTTACATGGTCAGCTCAACTCTTCTGGTTCGCAGGTTCATCCAGACTTCCCTGGCTGCTACACGCCTTCCGAACTCCTTCCTCTTCTTACACCTTCAGGGGGAGAGTCCCTTTAAAGGCACCTGAACCCTCCAGAATAGCCTCACGAATCCATACTCCTTTTGTCTGCTGTATGTTAGGTGGTTTGGAATAGCTGATTTGTAGTCAAAAGAACGTGACGATCAGTTGTCATCCCTTCACTCATGAAACAAAGGCAAGAGGCAACAGCATGGATTTAGTCACTTTACTGGCTGGTTTATACCCTCAGTATTCAAAGACGGCTACTCCATCCCTGTGCATGCGGGGCTTGGAAAAGAATATTGTATCATGGAGAGTGTAAAACACTAACCAAACACACCACCCTAGGGAGGGGCCCTGGCTCCGGAGAAGAGCCTCTACTTGGAATGCAGGAGGTCCCAGGGTCTTTGGCCATCTGGTACCAGGTGGTCTCCCAGACCCAATCAAGGAGCTTACTTGATGGAACCTTCCAGAAGATGTTGACATCCACTCCTGCTTTCTCCCCCCCCATCTGGTTACACAACTGAATTATGATTAACCAATGACCACATTCTTGAGTCTGGCCTGGAAAGAGATCAAGATGGTTGTACTGTATCAAGTCCTGACAAGTCCAGACATGTCCAGGGACAACCGTTGAGCTTCGCTCCAAGAGACAATGGACTATGCAGATCCTAGCCCGCTCCAATCAGGGGGCTAGGCTCCTGGCCGAGAAGCCAATGGGACTCTCGGCCACTGTAAATAACCTATTGGGAAGTGGGGGGCGGTGTTTTGGGTGGCAGTTTCTTGGGGAATATAAGCCGGCCTGCGAGCCGGCCAAAGCTGTCTTGTTCCTGACTGAATAAAGTACGCTTTGCTGAAATCACTCTCCGTCTGCGTACTTTTCAATGGTGTCATAGAATCATAGAATGTAAGAGTTGGAAGGGACCTTGCAGGTCATCTAGCCCAACCCCCTGCACTCTGCAGGCACAGAGCCGAAATATAGCCCTACAACATACCCAAAAGATGGTCGTCCAGCCTCCGCTTGTCAGCAGAAAGGCCCAATTATGGACAGCTGCAAGCTGGAGCTAATATCCACGTTGACCCTTGAGGGGAATCAGGGTGCTTTGCCTCACACAACTTTTGATAAAGTTCCTCATCAAAGGCTCCTAAGTAAGCTCAAAAATCATGGGATAAAAGGACATGTCATTTTGTGGATCAAAAACTGGCTAATTAATAGAAAACAGAGAGTGAGTATAAATGGGCTATTTTCTCAGTGGAGGGAGGTAAGCAGTGGGGTACCACAGGGATCAGTACTCGGTCTGAAGCTTTTTAATTTGTTCATTAATGATTTGGAGTTGGGAGTAAGCAGTGAAGTGGCTAAATTTGCAGATGATATAAAGTTGTTCAGGGTGGTGAAAACCAGGGAGGATTGTGAGGAACTCCAAAGGGATCTGTCAAGGATGGGCAAGTGGGCGTCAACATGGCAAATGGGGTTCAAAGTGGCCAAGTGCAAACTGATGAACATTGGAGTCAAAAATCATAAATATAAATACACATTGATATGCTGGGGATTATTAGGAAGAGAATTGAAAACAGATCAGCCAATATTATAATGCCCTTATATAAATCAATGGTGGAACCTCATTTGGAATACTGTGTGCAGTTCTGGTCACCACACCTTAAAAAGGATATTATAGCATTGGAAAAAGTGCAGAAAAGGGCAACTCGAATGATAAAAGGGTTGGAACACTTT